TCAGAATCTTGCACTAGGAAACATGGCTTTAGTCTGTCTATTGAAACTCTTTTAACTTTTCCTTGGATTTCAATATCGAAGTACTTATCCTTTCTTGCTCTTACAGGATACGGTCCAAGATAGACAGGCTGTAGCGACGAATTATTAATGTTGTTGTATAGGAATACGTGAGAACAGTTGGAAAGATGTTTAGAAACAAAGACTGTTCTATTTCCATGGGTGGTGGTAGAACTTGGCTTCATAGCTCTTATTATTTTCTGAAGGTTTTGAGAAAATTCAGACTGTTTCATATGAGGTACTGTTGAAAAGAATTCACCAGGTAATGCTAAAGGAGTTCCGTATACAAGTTCTGCGGATGAGCAACCTAAGTCTTCCTTGATGGCAGATCTTATGCCTAATAGAACGAAAGGCAATGCTTCCAGCCATGATTTTGATTCGAGTAGATGACATTTGAGACTTGCTTTTAAAGTTCGGTGTTGTCTTTCGATCAGGCCATTTGCCTGTGGATGGTACGCAGTTGTAGTGTTTGTATGAAAACCAAGATATTTTCCTAAAGCTTGAAAAAGTTGGCTATCAAATTGCCGACCTTGGTCAGATGTTATGCGATTCGGAATTCCAAAGCGTGAAAACCAAGTATAAATCAAAGCTTTAGCAATAGATTCTGCTGATTGATCTTCTAACGGTACCGCTTCGATCCATCGTGTATAACGATCGATGATGGTTAGAAGGTATTTGAATCCTTTGCAAGGAGGTAGCGGACCCACCAGATCTATGTTTAAATGCTGGAATCTGTGTGGAGGTACTTTGAATTCTCCCAAAGATGAATGTGTATGTCTGTGAACTTTAGATCTTTGGCAAGATAAACATGCTCTAGTCCATAGTTGGCAGTCTTTATTCATATTGGGCCATATGAAACGTCGTGTTATCAATTTTATCGTGGATCTTATTCCAGGATGAGATAAATTATGGATTGACGAAAAATATTTTCTGCCGAAACTTTGCAGGGATGTATGGTCGATTATAATTTGTAGAAGTATCACAGTAAATTTTCTTGTCGCTGTCCGGTATAGGGATCTGTAGGATTTTTAAGTTTGGGTTGTTTTTTAGTATCTCCAAGTCGTCATCTTCTTGACAGTCTACTATAGTTTGTAAGTCTATTGCAGATGGTACAGAAATGGTGTCTATGCGAGAGAGAGCGTCAGCGACGGTATTTTCATGCCCTTGTATGAATCGGATATCGGTTGAGAACTGGCCAATATATGACAGTTGTCTAGCTTGTCGTGGCGAAGCTTTTTCCAAATTTTGTTGGAAGGCAAATGTTAGTGGTTTGTGATCCGTGTATATTGCAAAAGTTCGCCCTTCTAAGATGTATTTGAAATGTTTTACTGCTGTATAGATGGCTAAGAGTTCTCTGTCGTAGGCACTATATTTTTGTTGTGCTGATGTCAAATTTCGGGAAAAGAAACTTAAAGGTTGTTTTTCATTATTCACAATCTGATGTAAAACGGCTCCAATGGCAGTATCGGAAGCATCAGTTGTTAGCGATATTTCAGCCTTTTCGGATGGGTGAGTTAAGTTTGTGGCATGAATAAGTGCATCTTTTAAGATCTGGAAGGCGTTTCTTGTTTCTGCCGTCCAGGTTATTTCTTTTCTGCAGTTCTTTTTAATACCACTGAGCAATGTTGTTAAAGGTTGTTGCAGTTTCGCACAATTTGGTATGAATCTGTGATAAAAATTCACCATACCTAAAAATCGTCTTAAACTAGTAAATGACTTTGGTTCTGGGAAATTTTTGATGGCATCAACTTTCGTTGAGAGAGGTTTAAGTCCTTCAGCTGACACTTCGTATCCCAGGAATGCAAGTTTTGTTTTGACCAAATTTACACTTTGCCGCATTAATACACAGGCCATATTCGTTTAGTCTCTCAAGGACTGCTCGTAGATGTTTTTGGTGAGTTTCTTCATCTGGAGAGGCTATTAGAATGTCATCCAAATAGCAAAACACGAATTCTAGTCCATTCAACACACTGTTCATGAAACGTTGGAACGTTTGGGCCGCATTTCGTAGGCCGAACGTCATGAATGGGAACTCGAATAAGCCAAAGGGAGTGAGAATGGCCGTTTTCGGTATATCTTCTTCGCGAACAGGAATTTGTTGGTACGCTCTAATGAGGTCTATGGATGAGAAAACTCTTTTTCCAGCTAAAATGGAACTGCAATCTGTTAAAAATGGTAGAGGGTATCTATCAGGAATCGTGACGTTGTTTAACGCTCGATAGTCTCCACAAGGTCTCCAATCACCTGATTTCTTCATAGCGAGATGTAGTGGGCTCGACCAGTTACTTTTGGATGGTCCTGCATAAACCCATTTGGAGCATAAATTCAAACTCCTTTTTAGCCGCTTTAAGTTTCTCAGCTGATAGTCTCCTGGCTTTAGCGAAAACTGGTGGACCTCTGGTTTCGATATAATGTTCGATGTTATGATTTTTAACTTTATTATTAACTACATTCAGTTTTAACAAATCCGGAAAATCGTTAATGATACGTTTATATGGATCATTTACGGCATTTAAAATCGGAATATTATTATTGTTATTTTGAAAACAAGGAGTTCCATTGGTTGTTAAGAATGTAGTACCATCAATCAACTTGCGATTTTTAGAATCTACCAAAAGGTTAAAATTTGCAAGAAAATCCATGCCTATTATCGGTTTGTTTACGTCCGCAATTACAAAAGGCCATGTGAATGATCGTCTGAGTCCAAGATCAAGCTTGAGTAATTTTTGGCCATATGTTTTAATTTTCGTACCATTTGCAGCAAAGAGTTCTAATTTTGAGATGTTTTTTTTATCTGCAGGCAAGGGAGGAATGACAGAAATTTCTGCCCCAGTATCTATTAAAAATTGGGTAGCCGATTCTTTGTCGCTGATGAAAAGACGACTCAGCTGCACCCCTTGTCACGCCGCCGTCAATGAGAGAACGGGAGCTGGTTTTCCGGACTATTTGTCTGTGATGTTGATGAGTAGTTGCAGGGTTGTTTACACTTAAATGACTTATCACCGAATTTTTTATGATAGTAACAAATATCACTAGATCTGTTACCACTGTAACTCCTATCTCGTGATTTGGATCGGTTACGACAATAGGGACGACTATGACGTTGCTTGCTTAAAGCAGAAACTTGTAAGCTAAGTTCACTAACCTGTTTTTGTAAACTTTCAATCACTTCCGTTTTTACCGTTATGGATGATGCAGCAGCTATTTGGGGAGTAACAGGGTTTAATTCCCAAATCTTATCGGCCATTGTAGCCACTTTTGACAAATCTTCACTACTAACAGATATAATGCTACGCATATTAACGGGTAAACGTTGTAGCCACAATGTTTTTAGGAAAGTATCTGTTACTTTATCGCCAGCCAAATTACGCATCTCACACAGTAATTGAGATGGCTTTTTGTCACCCAGTTCTAACTCACTCAGTAATTTTTGGGTTTTTTGAGTCTCTGAATCAGCATATAATGAAATTAGTCTATTTTTAATTGCCTCATATTTATTATCTTGTGGTGGACTTAGCAAAATATCAGATACCTGTGACAAAATATCGGGTTCAATGGAACTTATAACATAATCATATTTGTTTGATCTGCACTAATTTTTGCATTTCTAAATTGTGCTTCTAGTTGAATAAACCATATTTTAGGATCTGGCTTCCAAAAAGGAGGAACTTTAACGCTTACCTTGGCGACAGATGATGCAGTTGTTGCTTTAATTTCGGTTTCGTCTTCGTCAGCCATTGTAGAATTCGATCACGCCGGGATACACCAGTGAAGTGTCTGGTGTGCAAATATAGAAAAATAACACTTCTCTGACTCCTATGGAACCAATATTTTATTCCATACGATGTTATAGATTCTTATTCATAAGATTTATTTACATTTTACATGCACGTAGCATCGCGTGACAAAAACTCGAAGTTTGTTTACTTCGTTCTTCGCGGAGACTAGAAGGTGTTGCCATTCCGCTTTAACTAAATTTAATTAGAAATGTAACGGAACTGAATCGACACTACAACCTCAATTTATTAAAATAGATTTCTTTGTTTCGTTTAGCTGCAGAATGTCTGCAAAAAAAGCCTTATTTTATTCCAGATTGGGAAGATTCTAATCTCAATCTTCAATGGAGAAAACAACTATTATAATTATATTGTGTTTTCAAGTGTTAAGGTGCTTTTAAAAAAACCTCACAGAAATTAATTTACCTAAAATCTAACCTAACTATTTAGCATTGCGTTGTGATTTATAAGGACCGGATTAGCCTCGTGTTGAACTGGTGATGATCATGAGTAATAATTAAATAAAACATACATTTGTTATCCAATGTATATATCTTAAATTTTATTAAGTTTCTTAAGTGGAAAAGTAAACAAAATTATCAAACAAAGTATACCAAGAATAATTAAGAATAAATGTCCTCTGGGATTTATTGAATAATTAAGTGAATTTGCTACACAATACAAGTAATACCATAATTTACCTCTTAGCGTAGCCAATGTACATCACGCGGATAGACTGGAATTTTCTTGAAACGCACCTGGAAAAGTCAGGGAATTTCATTCTCCTGTTTGAGTGGCAACCCTGGAATGGGTACTTTTCCGTTTCGCCGGTGCAAATCTCGCCAAGCAGACTTTATTGGCGACAACATATAGTACACATATAACAAATGTTAGTTCTAAAATTTGTTTTATTTTGAAGGCAGAAATATTTTAATATCATTTAGAATTTTGTAAAAAAAGACAATAAATAAAGACTAAGTTTGTAAAAAAGACATTAATTTAAGAATTTACTACGCTTTCATGGTTCAACATCCTGATTCGCCGTTTCATATCACGTGACCCCAAATAATCTCATCTCACGTAAACTACGCTATGAAAAATTTAATTCTCTCAGTAATTATCTACATTAATTTCAAGTTAAGTCTTAATTTGGAATACAAGTTTAAATGCAAGAATTATTTCAATTCGTATGATAGCTTACTCACAAATTATGTAAAACCACAGTGCTTTACTTCGCTAGTGCATTCTCATTAGAATGGATGAATTTCACCCTTGACTTTGCCTTTTCTATAATTTCGCCTTCCGGTGAACGGTATTGCCGCGAATGGCCTTAGGGCATAAAATTGAAGTATCTGGTAAAAATTCTATGTAATTGTATGCTAGCATTGAACGAAACAATCAATCTCATAAGAAATGGCTGGGACTTGTTTTGAAAATGAGGCGTAAAAGACAATTACCAGCGAAGATTTTTCTGTTTGGCATCAGTTATACCATTATTGGCGACTTTATTGCTTGCGCTGGCAAAACGGAAAAGTACCCGAGAATGCATTCGTCATGACAGAAAATGCTTTAATGAGTGCATTTTTTATCTCTAATAAATGGCTTGTTGTTATGTTGAATAACATGACAGCAAGTGATTATTGATTTTTTTTGCTTTTAAAATGGACATTCATTGCCCGTCTTATCCATAAGAATTCCATGATGTATTTCGTTGAGAGTAGTTAGGGTTTTGAGGATGGCGCCAACGCTTTCATCAGGCGTAAGCTGTGCATCGGGTCCTCCCATATCTGTTTTAACCCATCCGGGACACATCATGATTACCAAAATCCCTTTTTCTCTGATGCTGGCAGCAGTAACACGCATGGCCATATTAAGAGCCGCCTGCAAATACATATGAAAAAATATGCTTATTTTCTAGTGAAATTAATTATGAAATTTGATTTGAGACATTCTTGTTTAATTATAAACCCTTATTTGCCATGAATGGAAAACTGCTCAGTAGTAAAGTAAAAATATGTCGTTTTACTTGATAGTAATATGAAAAAATACAGACTAATGATGGTTATGCGCTCACCAGCGGCTGAGCGGTAAAATCGCTAAACTCTGATAGTTCTGACCTGGGTTCAATTCTTGGCGAACGGGCTGGCTGCAAGGGCGTTTACGTGATTTTCCCCATATGTATACGAGCCAGTTCCCTAAGAAAGTCTTCCACGAAGGCATCACTTCCCTTAGGCAGATAGCTCTAGTATGCTTTGCCAAAAACAACTAAACCAAATAATGATGGTTGCAAAATAATCTTGCTGTTACATTTAAACACTTTGAATTTCAGGTACTATTTGGGAGAAAATGAAAGTTTAGATTTTGTATCCGAATTTCAGTTGTAATTGTCTTGTTGTTATGAAAGTTTAAATTTTCTATCCAAATTCCAGTGGTTCCGAAGCTTTTCCGACTCGCGACGCCTTTTCTCAATTAAAATTTTTTCATGGCGACCCAAAGTTAAAGTATAAATAAACGTAAGAAAGAAATAAAAATAAGTAAAACTCGTTTATCTTTATTATTTAATTTTTATTTTATTAATATTAAATTAATAATTAATGTAATGATGAACCTGCAAATCACTTCTCATTTTCTCAAATCGCGAAATTGAATTGGACACGGCCACCATCATTTCCTTGTCCACATTGCTCTATACTTGCTTTTTATTACAGCGACCGCCGAAAACCCAGCTTTTTATAAATACGACATCGAAAATGGAATTAAGATTCGCAGAACATGTCACTCAGAAGAGGATATTCATCTTTTATTGAAATCCAAAATTCTATCAATTCCATTCTGACAAATTTTGCTTTCTCACTGTTGTCGCATGATAATTCGATAATTCAATCTTCTTCCTCAAAAGTAAATTCGGACGTAGCATTAGTGTTAAATGGATTTTCAGTCCATGCAAACCTAACAAAATTTTCCTTTTTAAAATATTTCTCAAACCAGATTATTTACTGTGATATATGCCCTTCAAACATGGTTTTTCTATCCTATTTGACATTAAAAACTGCTCTAATATTAAGAAAAAAAATTTGCTTACATCTTCATTCAATATCCTTCCCCACAGTTTGACATTTTTTTAATAAAAGCTAATAGATTTTCCTTGACAAGATATGTGTTTTTTCTTTGCACAGAGAACTTAGCTTTTCAAAAATGCCGCATAAATACGCCTGTCTTAAAATCGGCATAAATAAAATCTTCAGCATATTTTTATTCTTCTTAAAGAATATGCACTACCCGACATTGATAATGTAATACCAAGAAGTTGGCCGAAAATTATGCAAATTTCAGGGTAGACGCAAGTCACCGTGGTATGCGAATGATGTGAAATGCGCAGCTTTCCAGCGCACGTTGAAGAAGGAACCTGCAAGAATGTTCAGTTTTCGTATCGTTATTTCTAATAGGGAAATGATCGTTCCAGTTCTAGGAGTTCCAGGAGGCAGACGATTTTACGATGTGCATGGTCTCAAAACATCCTTGAGCTCAGAAACACGATGTGCATGGTGATCGGCCTGAGAAGGGCAGGTTGGTCCATACCTTAAATTTCAGCTGACACACACCTGGACGCGTCCACAGTGCATCGACTGTGGCGACGATTGTTGGAATAAGGAAAGGTGTCAAGTTCGACTGGGGCCGGTGCAGCCAGAGTAACGTCAGCATGCGACGCATCCGTCGACAAGCTGTGGGGCAGCAAACTACTTCTACTTCCGTTTTGCAGCATGAAGACATCCTGAATGTGCCCATATCGACCACACCTAGTTGCCATCGGTTGGTGGCCTGCACTCGGGGCGTCCTTTAAGAAGACTGCCAGCGAACCCACATCATAGACGCCAACGTCTGTAATAGTGTCGGGCTCGAGCGAAGTGGAACAGGATAGTGTTCTCAATCACGCTTCTGTTTCTCCAATGATAGTCTCCACGTACAGTGTGCCGTCGATGTGGAGACTGGTCCAATCCAGTAGCAATTGTGGAACGCTTCACCGCGCGAGAACGCGCATCGTGGTGGGCACAATTGCGTGCGATTCCAGGTCACCTCTGTTTCTTATTCAGGACACTATAACGGGCCAACAATGCGTTGTGCTGCGGACGGTGACACTCCCCTAGCTTCAGGGTGTGCCCAATGCTCTTTATCAGCAGGATAACGTCCGACCACCAACATCGCATCTACCAACGTGCTCTGCAAGGTGTACAGATGCTTCACTGGCCACCATTTTATCCTGATCTTTCAACAATCAAACACATTTAGAATGTGATTGAATGCCATTTGCAGACCCTGTCATTGCCGCGTTCAGAAGACGAACTGTCAAATGGTTGACAGAGAATAGAGAGCCATTCCTCAGGACACCATCCGTAGTCTCATTGATTCTTACCTAGACGTGTTACTTTGTGTATCGCTGTCCAAGGTGGTCCTACAAATTTTGACAGGAGTCCTCCCACTGCCTATTCAAGCAAAAGTTGACGCAGCATCAGTTCTCCAGCAACAGAAACCAGCCATGTTCCAGGATGTACTTTTCCTCCCCACAGATTACGAAACAAAAACCTAAGAAATTTCTTACCTACCCTGCAGGTAGACTCAGCAACCTAAAAGATCCACCACCATCAACATAGTATCATGCCTACATAGATAAATAAATAGATAACAAAGTTGGATGCGCTGCGACCATCAGAAGGGCAACAGGATTGCACAGTGAATGGCAAGGTCATTTGAGGAAACGCAACAACGTATATCAAGCTGAACTTACAGCCATTCTCAACAGCATCAACATCCTCCTCACATTCCGAACAGATACTATACCTATCATCACAGACAGTGAAACATCCATCTTCTCAATCATAAGCCAGTGCCCTAATTCGCCCATACTATTCAAAACGTCATCAGAAACAAGAACAGGCTCATGAACCAAGGGTCACAACGACTGCGAGGGAAACGAGAGAGCGGGCGCTCTCGCAAATGATGCAACAACAAAGCAAGAAGGTGACAGCATTCAAATTCCATGGCCACAATCAGACCTCAAATACAAGAAGCAGCTGGCACTAGAAAAATAGCAGGACCAATGGCGAGATGGTCTCCAAGGACGAAGAACCTTCAAAAAGTAGACTAAGCATGCACCACCACTTCATACTTCCTGGCTTACATCACAGGACACGGCTCCTTCCCCACATACTTCCACGAGAGATCTGCAACAACGGACATGTGTATGTGGGGAAAGCTGTGATGCAGATCATTACCTGCTTTATCATATCAAGCATCCTATCAACATCGAAATTGAATTTAAAAGATTCCTCATCACAACATCCACAGCAATATTAAAGCAATTATCGACAAGTATCAGTACGGACTTATGCCAGCCATAAAAGTGAAATTACTACCTTCAAGACCACAGAGACATCGCCAGCTAGTAAAAAGAAGGAAAACATTTATCCAAAGGAGTCCCTTCTGTTACTACAATACACACCTACATGCGAATGAACCGACTGTGAGCCCATAAACCACAGTAGTAATCATAAATCAAACCACAAAACAAAAGTGTATATGGTTCAGCAAACTGGAACTTTGAACCACTCAAACAATTCAACACAATTGCACAGAATTCAACGAAAACTGAACTTTGAGCTCTAGACTACACATGCATAAATTTGCACAATACACCAAAGCACCAACCTTATCAATACGCAATCCTCTCAAGACATACTCTTTTCGTATTTTGTCATTTTTGTATTTTCATACTATATTTCGTACTCTGTTAGTATTTCTAATTATGGTTTCTAATTAATTTAATTACTATGCTTATTTACATAACCAATTCCCTGTACCCTGTCAAATTATCTTTCTGTGCACAAGTACCATGAGCCCATGAATGTCATGTAACCTTATGTAAATATCGTCCTATTCTGCAAAATGTAACCTTTTAATACTACTCGATAAAAGGACCGAACAGTTCTCTAGTTAGTATATGCGGGCTATACCATATGTGTCAATGACGATGTCGTGGTTCTCCATATACTTGTTACTGTAACTGTCACTTACTGAGCGGACGCTGTTTTTACTCTGTATTATGCATATCATTTCTAAATAAAGATAACTTATTATTCTTTGCTCTTTCTCCCTGTTTGCCGAGTTTCATCACTTTTTGGCCACTCCTTCTTAGCGTTGCATTTTCAGTATCGGGTAGTGTAAAAGTTTCTTGCCGCAATTCAGAGGTACGGGATAAAATACTATCACGAAAGAGTCATCATGTACTGCTGTAGTACAACAAAGACGAATGTTCGGCTCCCATATCCTCACAGATATTTAAAAAAGACCTTTTGCTTTCAATGGACAAGATTTTATAAAATTCACCACATTCACCACGCATTTTAACACCTGACTCAGTGCAGCACAGATGCTGTGACGCAAGCGCATGTTTATGAATAACGCAATGCGCATTGCATTTGGCGATTTGCTTCGAATGTAAAATGCCTGTAATCCTCCATAGCAGCCAGGCATCAACGCACTTAAGCCAAGTCAAATTACTTTCATGATATGAATGTATCAAGAATCTCGAACTGGTAATGAGCCTTAGCTCTTGCAGTGATACTTTTACAAAAAAAAGTCTTTTTTACAATTACTGAGTTAATTTCCATTATGCTTTACCGGTTCGATTCATAGATTATAAACCGACTGACTGAATCGAGCCCGCAATGCTTGCTTATACGCTTTGCGCAAGATCTTCCAGAACAGTTCAGATCTGTCGCGAAGGGCTTAGACACCTCAACGTATCTATACTACCGGTCAACCTAAGTTGAGAACAATGGATGTAGTAAAATGTATATGCACCCGCCGTGGAATGTAGTTCGAGATGTCATTGTACAAATTTCGCTGTGAAATATAAATATTGTTGAGCAAGGGGACCGGAATGAAAAAATATGTTAAATAAAAGATTACGTAGTATCCAGCTTTTTATTTTAAAATTTGCTAATGTCATGTCAATCAGTCGATTACCAATTTATAGGAAGACATACCATTTCTTGGCATTATTGGCGAAACTGTATATTCCAGAACTCCGTCCACGCACCACTCTCGGTGAGAAAAGCAATTCATTCATTCATTCATTTGCTGAGAAAGCAATTTTTATGGCGTCTTGCTTCATTATTGACGTATGTGTATAATTTCGGAACTTCAGCCTGGTAAACGACTCTGCAATTTTCTCTAAGGTTACCATTATGAATGTTTTCGACAAATTAAGGGAGCATTTTCGTAATGAATCCGGTAACGAAATCGTTAATTCGCCGCTGCTTTGATTGGAGTGTCTGTGACATGCATAAATCGCCTGAAATCCGAACTGAAAGAAAGTGGTGAATTTTCAACTCGGTGGGAAAAACTACCCCTTAACGACGGTACACGCATATCCGAATCAAACAACACGATGAGATAAATTTAGCAAACATACGAAGAAAAGTTCACAGTTACTTTCTGCAGAATGAGCCGTGAAAAGATCGTTCTAGCCTTGTACGTGTTCTCAAGTCGGATTGTTTTGCAGTAAAGCGCGACCGAGAAAGTGCAGTGCTACCGTCCCGCGTTCGCAAGAGTATTGTGTAGTGCTGACATTACTTTTATAGAGGATCAAGTAAACACAAACCACACAAAACATTCCACGCATTTTTAGCTTCTCACTTTTTTTGTTTAATTAGGTCAAATGTCTTGGTTCAATTAATTATGAAGCTTTAAGAATATTTCGCGACGCCCTTGTGAAGAAAGAGACCGGGGGAAGGGCGCCGCGGCGCACAGTTTGGAAACCATTGTCTTATTGCGTTTTGCATTACTTTTTTGTCGTATCGATTATTAACTTTCCTTGATGCCATCAATAAACATCCACATTCAATCATCAATCCTTGATGGTATTATGGTTAGCGGAGGCATATTGAATACTATGGCATGTGTTCATGTTTGAATTCCGAGCAAGGTATGGATATTTGTGACTATCTTGTCTTTGCGAAAAATGGAGACACTTGCAATATGTTGATTCAAAAGACCTCTGAAGAGATTTTTGGTGGGAAAAAAAAAGCGCAGTAGAAGATCCTTTTTTCCTATTTGGGGGGGGGGGGGGAAGAGAGGGGCTATTTCTCAAAATGGGACTTAAGTAGAAAAAATTAAATTGTTAAAATTTTTAGGAAAAGAGGTTTATTACATTCACATCAAGTAATATAAATTGCGTTCGAGCTTCAATTAAGTGCTTTACATTTTCGAAAAACGTTAAACTAAGGCTGTTGATATACATAAATACCAGCTACTTATTTACGTGAGTTTCTGTAAAGCGAAAATATACCTTTTGCTGTTGTAAATAATGCCTTGTTATTATTAAGAGGAATATCTACTAACCTTACTTATTTGATAACCAGGTACTTTAAGTTCTTTAGCGAATCCTGCATTTGTAATGCTTCCAAGCGTAGATGATATATTCAAGACAGCAGCTTTACGTATACTCATTCCATCACTGTGAAATGATGCAGCTTTCTCTAGGAGAGGCAGCATTGTCTAGAATGAAAACACTTCTAATAAATATTAATGAATAAAAAGCGTTTAATATTTAATAAATCATAACTAATTATTTCTTAAGAATAAAGAAAGTGTTTACCTGCAAAACCATTAGAGGAGCCACAGTATTGACTCTAAAATGTAATTCTAAGTTTTCAGGAGTTACGTAAGGAAAAGCTTCTCGCTGTAGAATGCCAGCATTATTGATCAGAAGTGTAAGACCTCTGTCCCCCACAATCTCTTCGACAATAGTCCGAGCTACCTCCAGTTCCTCTTGTAGCGTTACATCTGTAAAAAAATGTGTTTTAAATTGAACAGCAAAGAGATGACGGAACAATTTTTACGTAGCATAATACAAAACATCTTATTCGCGAGTTATCTGCGTAAAACTTCCCACGATTAAGACTAGTTTTGATAATTAAATATATATTTCATTAAAAGTTTTATTTACGCCTATTGGAATCCTTCCAACACAAACTTGTTATTATTCAGTGACATAGTAATATTACATATGAACTGTTCTGTTGTGTTGTTGTTGCTTAGTCCCACTTGTCTGACGTAGTCAGCCCAAGCCCACGAAATTCCTCGTGGCAAGGAGCACTAGATTATGCCTGTCGTTGGCAACAGCCTTGATCACCATTCAGGTGACAGTGCGATTTTGCTCAGTTCCGCCCCGGGGACAGCAACCCGGGGGAGACGGGTCCGAGGGTCTCCCACCCCTCTCCCTTTCCACCAAACCACACGAGAGGACTTTCGGCTCGCCGTATATTTAAAGTGCCACCATGCCGCACCGACACTATACAATTACAAACATCCATGCCTTCTCCGAAATTCGAACCCGGGCACTTCAGTGTCGAAGCAATACTCCCTTAACCACTATACTATCTGGAAGGCTTATGTTACCTATGTGAAAGAATCAAGTTATCTTAGAATTCGTTAGCCAGTTTTTCTACGTCAGAAGATTACTTTTTTATAATTAATTGTTAGCTTCAAACAATGCTTGGTCGTGTTGGTGCAACAAGCTTTCGTGTAGGAGTCTTTAACTCAAGTCTTTGATTGCAATGCATAAAGGTCTTTAATGCTAACTTTGAAATAGAATAAGGAGAGTCATCATCGGTGAATTCCTTATTCTTAAGATGATCCAAGTACAATGATACTGAAATACCTACATCTGTATACTACCTTTAATTATTGCAAAATTTCCAAGTGCAAAGAAACTAAACGACATATTATGAAGTACAACTTGAAATGTATATGGAAAACTTGAAATATATACAATATATATGAACATAAAATTGCAACAGGGTGCAAATTTGAATTACACTACAGAAACTATGGTTTTCAAAATTAAGCAACAAATTGATAAATCGGCTAAAATTAGCTCGAAATTCTAGAAATATTGATACATGCATAGAGTAGCATCATCAAAAGACGAACGCTGCGATTGCTTTACATATACGATGCTGCTTAAAATTCGCTCTTTGGAAGGAATCGCTATTCAATGAACTACGGTATATTCAATAATTTCGAAATAGCAAAGTGTAAAAAGGATCTTTAGACAACATTTTCCAGCAGAATCGCGTTATAGAGCCGTAAGCTGATTAGGAAGAGGTCAGCTACAGTCTGACGTTGTAGATGGCTAAACGTCGACCATTGCATGGTAATCCAGATGTAGAACTAATCTCTGAGTAATAGGTTTTAGCTTTTCGGAAACCTGCCTGATACTAAGTGGTAATAATTAAACTTCCTCTATAAACGGCATTCTACAGAGCGAACGGGTGAACGGAATGCAACGAAATTTCGTATATGGGCTATACACGAGATGCGCTCACGAAGTTTCGAAAAATAAATTTTAGTTCCAAAATGTCCACCAGAGGGCGCCTTTTCGGGAAAACATGAAATTTAACACAATAAACGACCAAAACGGAATGCAGAAACAATAGTAACAATCCAGAACAAGAATTATGAATAATGAAGTGCAAAAGTGAGAAAAGCTGTCAGTTGTAGGAGAAAAGTGTCGAGATTTGCTTGCTTGGGAAGAAGAGGAGGCTGATGTAAAAGTCGATATTTCTGGCTGTAGTGATGATGGTCTCTTTAGTTGAACGTGCGTTATTGGAGAAGCTGTTTTACGAAAACAAGTGGAATGCTTCTGCTGTAGTTCGTGAATTGTGAATTTCGTCGTAGAAAGAAATTACGGCGTGAACCAATGTCTACTAAAGGTATTCCGGCCATCATTTAAGAGATTTGAAGAGATGGGGAAATTAGGAGTTCAACCAGGAAGGGGCCGTAAACATGTCACACCATTACCTGTTGATGCCATCAAGACAGCTGTTGACGCACAGTCACAGAGTTTGAGGGCAGTAGCGTGCGTGCAGTTTCTCGACAGACAGGCTGTTCTTACAGCACCGTTCGAAAAGTATTCAGATTTCAGAAACATAATGCACTACTTCCCATACAAGATCCGTCATACCTAGGAGCTGCTTGATAGGGACAAGCCACAACGTCTCTCATTCGCAGTCAGTTTTCTCAACGGAATGACTGTTGCTCTGTCATGGCCTTGGAACGACGAGGCTCATTTTTACCTCAATGGGACAGTCAACACACAGAATCGCCGCATTTGCACTAAGGAAAATCCGCAGATCCACACTGAAATTTCCATACAGTCTCCAAAGGTCACTTGGTGTGGATTCACGGCGACATTCATCCTTGTCCCATTCTTCTTTGAGGAAATCGGTGAACGTAGGCCTCTCAAATGTTCCGTTACGGGCCGTTGGTACCATGACATGCTGCAGCCGATTGTTGTGCCGCAACTACAGCAAAGCCGGGTCCTTACATCGACTATTTTTCTGCAGGATGGTGCGCCCCCACATATCCATAGCTCCGTGAAGGCACTATTGCTCCAACACTTCACAGAGGAACGTGTTATTAGTCGGCCACCACGTTCATAATAATAATACTAATACTAATGGCCATCACGTTCGCCGGATCTAACTCCCTGCGAGACGTTGAATGACTTAAAGAACTCCATAACGCTTCATGTGCGAAGCTTTGCAACTGATCAGTAACATTCTGCTATGGTCTATTGAACACACTGTCTATCGACTTGAAATTTTGCAGGTGAATGAGGGTGGTCACGGTGAGCACCTTTCCCTACATCATCCTGGGCATGATTAACACTGCTCCTCTTGTGCAATTTCGTCCTAATCTGTTCTTGTTTCTGCAAACTGAACTGTTTGTATCTCCCTTACCTTTACTTCGATGACAAGGTGATAAGAAACTAGTCAATTAATGCTAATATTGTTTCTGTATTCCGTTTTGGTTGTTTATTGTGTTAAATTTCCTGTTTTTCCCCCTAAAAGGCGCCCTCTGGTGGACATTTTGGAACTAAATATTTTTTTCCGAAATTCCGTGAGCGCATCTCGTGTATAGCCCATATACAAAATTTCGTTGCATTCCATTCACCCGTTTGCGCTGTAGGATGCCGTTTATAGGGGAAGTTTAATTATAACCAGCCGGTACATCTGATGATCCCATTCGCGTTTACTGAATTAATTAGATGGTTTCGAGGATGCTTTTATCTCTGTATATTAGTTGCGTAGGAAAATTATTATTAGTATTATTATTATGAACAACCCTGCTAAGTAACAGCATAGCTAATTAGTTTGCGAATGTTGAATTGCAGTTTCTTCGCAGAGCTCTGCGTCCGCCTCGCATACTTTAGTATTAGTGGGAAAGAAAACTGTTTGGACTGTTTCCAAATTACTGTATTATTCTTCATCCCAATGAAGAATTTTTTTACATTATTGTAAAATTCGTCACAAGATTTTTTTTCCTTTCAATTTAGTCTTATTAAAATTGATTTACATTTATAATCAGAGTTAGAAAAAATTGGAAACTCGAAGAAAATGCTTTGTTTTCCGTTTGAAAGAAAGAAAAAAGAGAAGGTCCACAATATTCACGAAATTACTGGCGTCATAGTGAATTCCAGGTGTTCTTCAGATCAGTAATTCAGTCATTTTGGGGTTCAGTAATCGGGATTCAGTCAAAACAAAATTATGAATCATCCGTAAAGACACGATATTCTAATACTGTGTAATACAGCTGAGATGATCTCGAGACTAGTTTAAGCGACCCCTTTACGCAAGAGCTTCAAAGAGACACAAACTACAGTCGCTTTGCCCGCAGCTAACGTGTCTGTAGCTCTATAAATAGTTTTTTCGATACTGCAAATCTCGGAAAGTAACTTGATATGCATTGATTAATTTGTGATGCTGTGTTTGCAGGCATAGAAACTAATCATTCTGAAATGGCTGTGAATCTCGGACGTCCGCTTACAGATCATCGTATCGCGGTTGTTTCACTTTGATATTGGTTCAACACATGATAAATATCGAAAAGACTGATATTTAGGACTTAGCTCTCCTTACCTCTCACCAACTGGTATCACTACTCATTCTTTAAAAAAAAATCAGCTGTGTCGATTTTTTATCTGAATTCTGTAATGCGGAGATGCAGACTTGAAACAGGCCTTTTAATAGTTACCACGTTTTCTTTCTGAAAACTGTTTGTAGAACGTTTTCTCCAGCTAGCTTTCGCTTGTGTACACATCCTTATGTCAAATTTTACTGCTGCATATTGTTGCTTTTGCCAGATACGGTAATTTTTCATTCGGTGCTTAGTTTTTGAATAACAGTTGCAATGTTCCAACCTATAAATTACAGCTAACTGTGTGGATCCTTGAGAACTGGTAAGCGAATAATCGCTTTAGTTCAGTAGACAGAGAACTGAACTCAGAAAGGGTTAAATACCCTTTATTTCTCAAAATAAGAATTTAACAGTTGACTCGTTCTCGGAGTTTACAGCAAAGCCTCCACTTGGGCTTGAACTCAAGAATATTAAGAAATAAAACTTAACTAAAAAGATACAGCCGAAGCTATCAAGATCCTACATGAGTTGGCCCCTTAACACTAACTAAACGGCAAAGCTGTCAAGGGCGTCAAGTACGGCCGAGTTTAAAAATAGTTTCAGAGAGAGTATAGCCAAAAGGCGAACACGCGCTGGTCAGAATCTCTGGCTCTCTAATGAAGTCTTCTCCTTCTTCATTTGCATTTAACCGCGATTCTGAAAACACGTTCTGGCAGGAAATTGTAAGCTGAAATTAGGAGAGATAGGGCAGTAGCTTTAGCTAAAAATAACTGTTAGCAACTTAGGATAACCTTACACAGTGTATGAGGGAAAAAAAAAAAAGGAAAAAAAACAAAAAAAGAACATTTAACCAGTATTCTTCAGCATGGAGATTGCCTCGAGAACATTCTTCTTACAGTATTTGTACCGAAGGCAAACGGGAAACGTTCATTTCCAAAATTGAAATTTATAAAAATGAATGAAAAAAAATTATGGCACACCTTCATTTAAATTGTCTGAATTTGGTGGGCAATGAATATGGTATTTTTATAAAAAGTAATTTTACTGGTATAATTTACAGTTTTCCATACATTAAATACCAAATACTCAATTCCTCTACAGATACTATTTTAATAAAGTGATATGCTAGAAAATGAAGTTCATCTTTGAACTGGTAATATTTATTTATTGCCATGATGATCATGATCATGATCATCACTATAATTGTAACTATAGTTTCACCCTCCTTACGAAAGCAGGGAGTTCTTATGAAATTTTTCGTAAATCCCAAGAGCGTTTCCTAATAATTTATGTGGAAAGGAGTTTCAAGTATTTCAGCTTATCAAATCATGCCAAATAAAATTTAAAACAATATTAAAAAGAAACATGACATTACAAATCAACAATCCATATAAACAGAAATAATATGCATGTTACAGCTTCACTTTCTAAAATTAGGAAAACAGCAGTTACAATAGAAGATGTAGAGATTGTGTTAGTGATGATGTATTAAACTGAGAAGTAGAGATTAAGTAAATTAAAATGCAAAGAGTTGGATTTAGGAGAGGTCGGTGAAGACCGCTTATTGATATCTTATCATGGATGGTATCCTTCAAACTACTGTGTCGACAGTAGTACCCATAAAAGCCTGCCTTAGTGCCAAAAATGCAAGCTTTTCTTTCGCTGAGGGTAAAGTCTTGAAGTGCAACAGTATAGTTCATTATTTTTTAGAGTCTTATTTTCAAGAGTCCCATTAGACTTACACGAATTATCGCTAAGTCTAGAGTGCACACAAAAACGTAAAAAGGGTGTAAAAGACCCTTTTATTAATAACCCAAATAATTTAACAGAAGGCATTTCTTGTGCTTCCAAATAATTTAACAGCCAGCATTTATGGTATAACACAAAAGATAGAAGAATTTCAGTTGTAAGCTTAGTCTTAGGAAATCCAAAGGCTGCACAGAAATAATTAACACGCAAGTTGGGTCAAGCCTACACCGGTGAGACAAGCACTACTGGCAAGAATAAAAGCAACGTCGAAGATAAAATGCTGTCGTAGAAATGCAACTAGTAACATTGCCTTCAGCAGGCGCCACACGCTCTTATTAAGCAATCTAAGAACTCCCTTTAAAAATATTATCTCTTTCTGCCTCATAAGCACGAACTGAAACTTGCGTTCTGGCGGGAAAACGGAAAGAAAGCGTATAAATATTGAGCATAAAATAACTGATTAATTAAAATAAATAAATATTTAATAATTTATTTATATTGATACATTTTTAATGTAGTGCATTTCTTGGTAAGAAACCAAATAGCCTGTTAAACTATTCCAAAAAAGAATGTTATTTGATAGTTAAAATCATACCTTTCTTCAATCATTGCATCATTTCTTGTGCTTTTAAAACCAATCAGCATTTATGGGATAACACAAAAGATAAAATTTCAGTTGCACAGTTTTTTTTTTTTTTTTTTTTTTTTTTTTTTTTACGTTTCTTTGTCAAAGAGACTAAAACTTATAAACGGATTGCGGAAACTCACGCAGATCAAAACACGCGATTCGTTCCTGAAGATAATACATAAACTTTTAAAAAATGTAACAAAATAATATTAATCTGAAAAAGAGTAAAGAACATTTTATCCTTTTCCAGAAAATCCAAAATAAAGATTTTATTCCCTGTTTATGAAGTCTAAAAAACTTGAGCGTCTAGTAAAATTGTATCTACTGGGTTATGAGGTAGCATAACTACAGAACAGTTAAGAATATTTTTTAAAAAAACATACAAACTGTTACGATTATCACTTATCTATATCAGTAGCAATTTTCTTAAAACAACTTACCCATTTTTATTAATATAACTTTAGACTTCACAGATGAACCTTGGATACTTTTTAGTTCCTGAAAACAAAAGTTTTTCATTAAAACTGAAGAGGAATTTGGATTGTACATAATTTTATATGCATTAGCAATTTTATATTCGCTTATAATTGCAGGCCTAACTAAACTATTTGCTTATGCATTTATAACTAAACTATTTGTTTATGCAATTTCTTCCGTCTAATTGCATAACTAATCTAAGGAATTTATGCATTCTATGAAACAAAAACTTATAGTACAGAATACTTTATATATTAGGCGTTTGGTATTTTGGTAGTTCATACATACTGTCGGCTTAGGCGTATACAGAAGGGTAAGTTTAATTTTTTCAATTTTTATCCGTGTAAAATATTTATTTCCTTATTTAGCAAAATTAGTTCCAGAAATTGCTATTTTTTACTTTGACAGGATTTTTATTTCAGAAAAAGTTGGTTCTTAAATGAGCCTGCCCTTGTTTTTGTATTTATATAATAGGATTATACATGTAATTTTCATTTTTGAAAATTAAATTGTTTATTTAATTCTGTAACACATGTTATATTTGTATAGTAATTATTTCATCTTTAACCGTTTCATGCTCTTTTGATTATTTTTTAGATAATTTTGTTGCATTTATGTATAAAATTTGTACTGTGGGAGGGCGAGAACATGTCGGGGAAAGAAATGAGTTTTATGAGACTTTTGAATTAAATTACGTTTGTAAAAAAAGTTGGATTACTTTAAAGCGGTTCCAAGTCTCGGTGAATTCATTGGAACGAAACATGTTTTTCATCACCGGTTAATCAACTTCGTTTAAGGCTTCAAAACACTTTTCCCTTGAAAAGTTCTGCTTGAAGCGTTAAACAAAGGAGATTAATAAAATGTTTTTAAAAAAATTATTGTTTTGTCTGTCATCTGTACTAATTTCCCGTTTTTTAAGTTTTCCTCTTTTGAAATAAAAATTTTTGTTTTCAATTTGGTATTTTTCTTTAATTTGCGTTTTAGCAGTTTAATTTGTTAAACAAAGAGAATGGGTTTAGCCTTCAAATATTTTATGCGGCATTTTCTTTTTCGTTCCGATTTTTGTGATTTTGATATATTATATATTGATATGTGTGTGTGATGATACAATTTAGTTCTTAAAGTAAATTGATGAGAGATGAAGGCTTAACTAGGGAAGACATTATTTTGCAGTATCGAGTGGATTGACGATTAGAAGATCACTGAAAGTATCAGTTACGTAACGGAAGATGCCGGGAACTTTTGAAGAACCACAAAATCACTTGATATTCCAGATATATCTTTATTACTTGTTGCACTTCACAATGGGGGCCAATCTGCATAGCGCATTACATTTTTAACAATTTTGATGAAGGCGCATTACATTTTTAACAAAAGTAGCCAAGCAAGAGACGTCCTCAGCAGCAAGCATAGGCAAGAAGAGGGAGGTAAGTATTGCAAAATATTTATAGCAAATTTTTCGTATCTGATTGGATTAAAACTTATAGGCAATGCAGAAGTTCAAGATGAATAATGGGAATAAGTTTTCAGATTGACGCATTTTTAGAGAAAGTTATTACTAGAGGAAAAAGTATCCAAATTAAAAATGAGAAAATTATATTATAAATAATAATTAAATAGATAATAGCATTTTTTTTATCTTGCATATATATATATATATATATAAGGTATAATTAATATTTAACTAATTTTTCGCAAAGACCAAAAATTGAAATTCTTAAGTAATAAATTTCAAATAATCATATAAATGCAATAAAGAATTAAAAAAGTGTTGACACCAAAACTCTTCAAACAGACAATATCCCAATTAAAAAAATCAATGAAATTTTAAGAAAACGAACAATATTCAATCAACCTTAATGCCACTTCGTCAGGAGGAGGAATACTGAAATCAATTGAAATCTCTCTTCCATAAAAATACTTGATTTTCTGTATCCAGAATTATCCGATGAACCCATTTCGATGTATTCTAATTATAATAGTTCACCAAAAATTCTGGCCCCTTCCCAAAGCAAGGAAAAAACAATGAAAATTCTAATTAGAATCTTGTACCTTAAATAAAGATAATTCTATCTAAAGAATTGAAAACTTAAGTGAAATAATAACAATAAAAACCAAACAGAAATAATTTATCTTGATCTAGCTATTCATAATCTAACAGAAATTAAACTTTTTGATAAAAGAAAAGATTTAAATTTTTCTACTAATAAACTTATAAATTGGTATTCCAACCTATGTAAAAAAGTTATTGCAAATACTATTATTAACCAAATTAGCAAAACTAAAAGGTTGCACTGAATAGAAATGCAAGGAAGAAATTCTAATTTCAACCAAAATTTAAAGAAAAAGAAATCCTTTTTAAAATTCATTAATAGTCTTTACAAAATCTGGAAGTAATCTGCACCCTGTAATACTTTTAAAAGTATGAATTTTTATCGGAAGGTCCAAAGAGAAGGAAAAAGGATGTTTTAAGAATTTATAGGATTTTATTTTTTATTTTATTTTTATTTTTTCTCCTATTACTTCTTAACAAGGGGCCTTCTATATTCAAAGTCGTTATGATAAGCCATCACATGAGGACTTTTTACTCTTCTAACAATGTTCCTTGACTTCCTTTTTCAGGCTTTCTTTTAACTTTTTCTGTAGTTTTAAACAAAAACAAACAAACAAACAAACAAAAAAAAAAAAAAAAAAAAAAAATTAAATGTTTCAGATTTTAAAATTACGTCCAAATGGGCTTTATTTTTTAACGTTTTGTGTGTTACCTTTACGATTATCAAATATCATGTTCTACATACTCAAACTATAAAATTCAGTTCAACAGCAATATCACAAATTGAATTTAAAATGAGCATATCTTTAGAATTTCCGATACTGATTCTCGCGCGCAGGAGATAAAATGTTTTTTTTTTTTTTTTTTTTTTTTTTTTTTCCCCTTCCGTACAGCCATTGCTCGCTTTGAAATCGTTTAGTTTTTTTTAATCAAAAATTCGTTGCAGTGTTACAAAATCTGAAATCGGTAATAAAACAAATTTCAAATTCAAATTAGGGCTTCCACATGCCCATATATTCTATGGAAGATTACGTGATTCAAATTTTGATGGCTCTACCATTGTTTTATCACAATGCGAGAAAACATCTGTTACGAATTTGTATTTAAAAAAAATGTTAGTTCAATTATAAATTAAATGGTTTTATTTCTCGCGCAGTGCAGCGTGACGAAATATTAAAAGAAAGCTAAGCCGGAAAAAAAATAAAAATACAAGAGCGCGTGCATTTAACATAAATAAATATCTCTTTTTTGATTTCGAGAAAGTTCTGGAAAATTCTAGCGCGTGATTTTAAAATCTTATAAAAGGAGGAAACCTCTCAGTTTGGTAGTAGTTGCTTAGTTTGTTGTTGTTTAGAAAACTGCTCTTGTTGATTGTAGCGAATTCGCGGATTAGCTTTCTTTTAGCTGTTTTGAATTATGTTCTATGGAACATTTGAGTAGTTAAAAGATAACTACTGTGAGATATTGTAATACTGAATGATAATCTGAGGAAAATTTAAGCATTTTTTGTGATAATAATAAATTTTTGTTTCATTTTTCATCGGACTTGTGCATTCATTTAGTAATGAACCCGTACGCCACGCAACAATTTTTGGTGGCAGCGGTGGGATTTGAATGCCAATAACAAGAGGATGGAAAAGAGCAGTTTTAAAGCAATTGATAACCCTTTGCCTCGTTTTAAAGAAGAAATGAAAGAAAGATGGAAATCTAGCCAAGGAAGATGAAGGGCCCAACTCTGTTAAGGACAAGAAAGCCGTTCAAGCTGGTCAAGAAAATTGAAGAAAGAAAAAAGAAAAGAGAGATTACCTGCCATAATAGAAAATAAATTTGAAGCTATGGAGCAGAATGACACAGTTGAAAATAAAGTTGGACTAATGAAAGGAAAGATTTCTTCGGTGAAAGGAGGAAAGAGTTTTTCTGTAAGGGGAAGAATTTTTTGTGCCGTCCAACACAAATCGAACACAAATTGATGAGAGAGTTTCTGAAGTTGCCAAAAGGAATGGATACTTTAAAAGGAAATTCGTAAGGTCGGCAGGGAGCAGGAGTGATGATTTTAATCTTACCAATGCCTGCTCGTCCACCTTTGAAGCTATCCACATATGATGGGAAAGCCTCCTGGGCAGGTGTAATAAGACACAATTTTCTATCGTGCGGATGCGAATGGATGGGATTCCCAAGATAAGGCCTGTCATCTCGCCGCTTCTCAAAGAGCGACGCAGGCGGATTATCCTTCAGACTCTTCCGAAACAAAAGGTTAGATTTCGAAGCTCTGTCCGGCGTCTTGGAGTTGCCTTTGGGAGAAGTGTTTAAAAAAGACCTACAGCAGGCTCAATTAAAAATTCGTCAACAGAGCCTACCGAACACTTCGGAGCTCGCCGCGGTGTTGAAAGGCTGTCCCATCTCGCCTTTTCGGAATGCCCGACAGAAAAAACAGGGAAATCCTGTCCTTGCAATACTTTATCGACGGCATCCGAATACTGAATACAGGAAAGCTCTACGAAGCGGATGTAAAGATTAAAAAGTGCTCTAGTGTACGCCATGAATTTTGAGCCCAGCAAGCCACTCGTCGAGCCGCCACCCAGTGCAGAGCTGCTCAAAGTCCGGAGCCAGGGGATCAAGTCACCGCTCGACT